GATACTCCAAGATACACAGCTACAAGCAGAGCCTGGTTCTGTTGGCGCCTCCAGGCCATGCTGCCATTGCACAGGGCTGCTCGATACCTGCTCTACCCTGCACAGAGCCCAATGGCTGGTGAGGCCCCTGGCTGGAGCATGGGGCTGACCAGGTCAGCATTGTAGGCTGGAGTACTGGCTGCACACCAGGTGGCTTCTTGCAGTAAACATGAATCATTCTTTTGGCCACTCCACATCTGAGCCCCCTCCTGCGTTAGAGGAATCCCCAGCTTTGAGACAGAACCTGCCTCCCATGAAAGAAGCTAAAAATGCCCCATTTCTGCCTCCCTTTCCCAGCCTCCCTTGCAGCTAGGGCCTGGGCACATCACCTGGTCACTCCAATCAGACCCACACGCCCAACTTTGAATGAAAGCTGCTGATGGGAAGAAGCACCTCTCAGCAGTGGCAGCAGCCACACCCCAGCTTTCAAAGATGCTTGGACCTCCGGCCCTCACTGGTGGGCTGACTGTGGTGTGTGCCCAGCAGAGGCAATAGATCGCTTTCAGATCTGACCCTCCGACGTTCTGGGTCTCCTGGGAACTAACCAGTATCTTCAACAAATTCCTTTTCTGCGTAGAGTCTCCAGAACCTGTTTCTGTTGCTTAAAACTAAGAACCTTGATTGAAACAAAAATAGAACTAGGAGTGGATGGAGCAGGAAGCCCTGAGGGGTGGGGGGTGATGTAAGGCTGGCAGGTGGTCAGACAGTGAAAATCCAGCTCGGATTAAAGGACAGAACGCCAGCAGCCCATGGCCTGCGTGGTGAGGCAGTTAATCCTGTGCCCCCAAACAAAGTACCCATCAAAGGCAAGGCTTGGGGGGCCTGGTGCCTCCTGCCATAGAAGAGGATAAAGATAACCCTGAAGTCAAGGGCTGCTGGGCAGGGTGTTGTGCTAACGGCACCGCACGGTTTAAAGGACAGATGGACAAGTTCACCGTCCACATTCTCAGCTCAAGGCATGGTTAGAAAACCTGGGGATTTTTGCAACTTGCAACTAACTGAAAGGCTGAGAGAGCAAACCAGACGTGAAGCTTGATCAGCGGTTATAAAATGACACCATCAGGTAGCCTCACACCCTTGCTAGGTCTCTAATCAGGAAAGAGTGGGGAACAGAGGCCATCCGAATGGGGCTCTGTGGGAAGGTGTGGGGGACTTGGTTACCCCCGCCCCTTGCTGGCCAAAGTGACTCCTCTTGGTCATTCTGAAGGTCCTGGTGGCAGACACTCACCAGCTCTTTGTCAAACCCACATCCCTTCCCTCCTGGGCACACATCTAGCTGGAGTTTCCCAACGCCCCTTGTAGTTAGTGTGCTGCACGGCTGAGGGGTGGCCAGTGGCTATGGGTGGGTGGGATGTGCACCACTTCCAGGCCCGTAGCATCCCCCGAGCGAGCGTCCACCCTCTGCCTCCCCAGTTGACCACCTGAATGCGAATGCCCTGGGTACGCGGGGAAGCCAGGTGCTGCAGGTGACAGGGCCTTGCTCGGCCTGGGCTCCCCTGTCCCCCATCGCACATGTGCGACTGTGGCCAGCAGCTAGCATTCCCCTGTGTGCCCTACCCCACCACCCTCCATTGTCTCCAGACTGAAATAACAGCTCAGATCCCTGCAGGCTCCAGGGGGCCAGTGACTTCCAGTCTGGGATGAGGATTGAATCGCCAAAAGAACTGAGATTTTGCTAATTGATACTGGCAAAAACCTGGCAAAGTGACCCAGGAATGGATTCTGGGGAAGGGAGAAAATAACATCAGTGGGGTTGACTATATTGGTATCTAGGATTCTACGGAGCTGGCTTGAGTAGCTGGGATGGTTCTGTTGTTTGCTCTGACGGTTGCTTGAAACGGACTCAATTGTGATAAAATAATATTGGCTAATAGGTCATTAGAAGGAGAATGAGAATAGCTAAGACTTATTGAGCATTTGCTATCCACCAGGCACAGTTCTAAGCACTGTTCTTATTTAAAATGTATTTAGTTAACAAATGAAGTTTCCATGGCTAACAGTCATCAGTGTTGCCTCACCAGGCACTGTTCCAAACACTTTAATGTACTCACTCATTTTCTTACCCTCCTTTTACAGAAGGACATGAGGCAGAGAGATGTTTTAGGGCAGTGGTTCTCAACCTTCTGGCCCTTTAAATACAGTTCCTCATGTTGGGACCCAACCATAAAATTATTTTCATTGCTACTTCATAACTGTAATGTTGCTACTGTTATGAATCGTAATGTAAATATCTGATATGCAGGATGGTCTTAGGCGACCCCTGTGAAAGGGTCGTTCGACCGCCTAAGGAGTCGCGACCCACAGGTTGAGAACTACTGTTTTAGGGTGACCAACTGCCTTGGTTTGCTTGGGACGGAGGGGTTTCCCAGCCTGTGGGACTTTGAATGCGCAAACTGGGACAGTTCCGGGCAAATTGGGACAACTGGTCCCCCTTGGTGTTAAGTAACGGGCCAGAGTCAGACAGCAAGTGGCAGAGCGTGGCCTCAACTTCAGGTGGTTTGACTTTAGACTCAAGCTCTTCGCCTCTTTTTGCCAGTGGTTCTCGAGCCAGAGCCCGTGTGTGAAGTAGCTGAGGTCTTGTTAAAGCCCAGATAACCCTCCTCGCCGTCAGAGTTTCCCGGGGACAAAGCTAGGTTTGGGCAGCTGAGAATTTGCTTTTCTCACCTGTTCCCAGGTGATGTCGATGCTACTGGCCGGCGGACGGACGTGGAGAACCACGGCATTATGCTGATGTGCCCAAGGTTGCTGCGGACTTTTCAGGTAGGACCAGCTGACGGCCACCTCCACCCACAAACCCTGAGATGGCCCCACAGGTGCGTCCTTTGCCGTGGCACCGAGGGACGTGCGGTTGTGGCTCCACGGGGCACTGGAGTGCCAGTGTCAGAGCCCCAGCAGAGGTGGGGCTGCCACAAGGTGGCGCCAGATTCGCGGCTGCTGGAGTCCACTTTGCGTTCCCGTGCCTGCAGCAGGTGACAGGAGTCCCCAGACGGGCTGTGCAGAACCCGGGCCACTATTTCTGGCCACAGAGACACCCAGCCTGGCTCTCTGACTCTCCCCAGGATCCTGCAACCAATCATTATCCTTTTGTTTTAAAATTGAGGTGAAATTTTTGTAACATGAAATCAATGTGGTGGCATTTGGTACATTGACAGTGCTGAGATTTATCTAAGTTCCACATTTACCTAAGTCCTACAGCATTTTCATCGTTCCGACGTAAAATCTGTACCCAGTAGGCAGCTATTCCCATTCTCTGACTGCTTTATTTCAGTGGATTTTCCTGTTCTGAATATTTCATATAAGTGGAATAATGCAAGATGTGACCTGTTATGATTAGCTTCTTTCACTTAAAATACGTTTTTAAGGTTCATCCACCTGGGGTATGTGTCAGTACTTAATTCCTTTTAATGGCTGGATAGGATTTCATTATATATATGCCACAATTTTCTTTGAATATGTTTTTATTGATTTTTAGAAAGAGAGGAAGGGAGTGGGATAGAGAGATAGAAACATCGATGAGAAAGAATAATTGATCAGCTGCCTCCCACACGCCCCCACTACAACTCGGGATGTGCCCTGACTGGAACCGGCGACCTCTTGGTTCATGGGTTGATGCTCAACCACTGAGCCACACCAGCTGGGCCACGGTTTTCTTATGTATTCATCCATTGGTGACATTTGGGACTTTTCTACGTTTGGCTATCGTAAACAATGCTGCTACAAGCTTTGTGTATAGGGATTTTCTTGTTCTCAATTCTCTTGTGTACGTACCTAGGAGTGGAATTGCTGGGTCATATGGTCGTTGCGTTGAACTTTTGAGGAATTGCTGACCTATTTTTCTCAGTGGCTGCACCATGTTACAGTCCCACCAGCAGTGCATGGGGGTTCCCGTTGGTCCACATCGTCACTAACCCTTGTGATTGTCTGTTTCTTTGGAAACATCCACCCTAATAGGTGTGAAGTGGTGTCTCCTTGTGGTTTTGGTTTGGATTTCCGAATGGCTAGTGATGTTGAACATCTTCGTCTATCATTTTGGAGAACTACCTATGCAAGTCCTGCACCCATTTCTAAATCACTGTCCTTAGAGTACATTCTTTTTCTGCCAGGATTAGCCAGGGCTGTTTCTATTGGTTGCAACTGGATACACTTCTCCCCATCCATGGTCCCAGGCCACACTTCGACCTCCAACCAGCAAAGCAACTCTACGTGGGCACAGGGCAGTGTGCCCGTGGGCCGTGGAACATTCCGGACCCGAACGACAGTGCCTGCCTGGGTCTTGGCACCACTGCGGGGAGAGGAGGGCAACAGAGACCCCGGTGTAGATAATCACAAAGAAAAAAGAAATGCATGGAGTTGCAAAGAGAATAAAGGGAGAGGGTGTGATCGACACACAAAGCCACAGAGGCGTGATGAGAGGAGCTGGAGCAGGACATGAGGGACACGCATGAGCCTTCTAAATCTGTGCGTTATTCAGGGGCTAAGACCCTGAGAACATCACTCGGGGGAGCAGGGAAGGGACTAGGCCGGCAGGAGGCAGCGGCAGCGGAGCCTCGGGCTCTGTGGTCTCCCAGGGACCGCCCGGCTCATCTGAATCCCCTTCAAAAGGAGCATTCACAAGTTTGGCTGTTTCATAACTTAGTTTAATCTCTTGTGGGGTGCATCCTGGGCAGCGAGGGACCTCCATCTGCCCCAGAGGGTCCATCCCAGATGGAGAAGAGCAGTCTCATCTGACCCCTGGCCTTGCTCCGGTTTCAGCACCTAATTAAGGCCCATCTCCCCAATCAAAAGCAGGCTGAGGGGCCCCTCCCCCTATGCCAGGCTTCCTGTTGGGCCTGCCCCACTTCCTGTAAGGTCTGAGACCTTTGGGCTTGAGGGCCTGGCCTGGCCCGGGTTCCGGACCGATGGGCAGGCAGGCAGGGCTGGTGCGCCTCCAGGCAGTGGCAGGGGAGAGGCCTGGCAGCGTCTCAGGGCCCTGGGTCCCACCGGGAAATGTGCTCCTGAGCTGGGAAGGAAGCAGAACAGAGCGAGGGTCCCTGGCAGCCCAGGGCACCCTGGGATGGGGACCCGCTGCACCAGGTCCAAAAGCACCCAGGGCCGTGGTCCCCTGGGTAGCTCAGGACCCTCCCAGCAGGCGCTGCCGGGAGCCGATTCTGGGCTTGGCTTCACCTCCCCCCCACCACTGGGCTCTAGAGAATCAGGTAACATCGAGGAACCCGACAGGCCCCCAAATAGCAGCTTTAGTGACAGGAGGACGGGACCTTGGAGAAACCCCCGCCAGGCTGCACTTGGTCCTGCCGCGGGTGGACGTGGGGGGTGAGGCTGGCCCAGCTTCCCCGCTGGGCGTCCTCCACGGCCCTGTGAGCTCAGACGCTCTGTAGGCCTGCGATCTGCGTATCCAGGCGCCTGGATCGGGCCAGCAGCCACCCCCGGGGACAGGCACCACGGAGGGAGCCGGGAGGGCCCTCACCAAACTGGCAGACATAGCGGTTTCGGGTTTTACAGCGTTGGTCGTTCCAGTTGAAGGCGGCCGAGGCCTGCAGCTCCACGCAGTTGCCAAACCTGCCGGGCCAAGATGTCGGGTGCTCAGGTGGGATGTTAGGAGTCTGGGAGTTTCAGATCCTCCTCCCCAACAGGCCACCTGCATGTAAGAGGCCTCGGTGCATCTGGCCTGTATGTGGGGCTTCTAAAAGCCAGACCAACCCAAGCTCCCATCCCTGCCCCCGACCACTGCAGTGCTTCTCAGGGGAGCCGGGAGGTCCTGGCCCACCGCCTGCCTAGGGCAGCAACTCCACCTACCCACTGCCGGCACTCAGCCACACCAGCCACACCGGCCACGCCGGCCGGCACTCAGCCACGCCGGCCACACCAGCCACGCCGGCCACGTCAGCCGGCACTCAGCCACACCGGCCACACTAGCCACGCCGGCCACGTCAGCCGGCACTCCGCCACACCGGCCACACTGGCCACATCAGCCACGCCGGCCACACCAGCCAACGGGGGGGGGGGGGGGGAGCGCAGACCTGGAAAAGGCAGGCCCTCCCTCCCAGGAGGGAGCGTGTGCCTGGGAGCCCAGCCAGGCTGCCTTCCTCTAGGTCAGTGGTTCTCAACCTTCCTAATGCTACGACCCTTTAACACAGTTCCTCATGTTGTGGTGACCCCCAATCATAAAATTATTTTCACTGCTACTTCATAACTGTAATTTTGCTACTGTTATGAATTGTAATGTAAATATCTGATATGCAGGATGTATTTTCATTGTTACAAATTGAACATAACTAAAACATAGTGATTAATCACAAAAACAATATGTAATTGTATATGTGTTTTCCGATGGTCTTAGGCGACCCCTGTGAAAGGGTCGTTCGACCCCCAAAGGGGTCGCGACCCACAGGTTGAGAACCGCTGCTCTAGGTGATGGGCCAGGGGCATAGGCCTGGCTGCCGTTAGGAGGTCGAGGGGGCGCTGGGCGAGATAGTTGGAGCCCTGGGTGGCTACGCAGCCTGACCACCTCCACCCCTGTCACCCCGCCCTGGGCATTCCTAGGCTCTGAAGGCCAGGGCGGGGCCACGTAACCAGAAGGCCCTCCGTACAGGCTGGCTGGTGGGTGGATGTTGTGTGAATGGATGCAGGCGGGTGGATGGCTACAGAATCCGGGAATCAGTGTAGTGATACAGACACAGGGCTGGGGAGGGGGAACGGACGATAGATGGAGGGGACCATGGGGATGGTGGACGGATAAAGCCTTCTTGGGTTCCCTGGAGCATGCCTCATCTCAGCACCACGCCCACACCCAGCTGTGCCCTGACCTCCAGGGGAGGCTCAGACCCTCAGAGGGCTCGGCCAGGCAGCAGGCTGGGGGAGGCTCTTCAATGGCATCTCAAGGCTTAGTGAGCAGGCCCAGGGGAGAAGGTGGGCCCAGGCAGGGAGGGCGCCCCAGACTCACCCCTGGTTGTCAGGCTGCCCAAAGGCAAAGCTGGTGAAGGACTGGTGCTCCCCGGTGTTCCAGCGGAAGGCATCTTTAGCGGTCTTGTAGGTGAGCCCTGGGCCGGGCGGTCAAGGTTGGCCCCACGACCCGAGAAAGGAGGGCCGGAGCCTCAGCCTGCTGCCTCCTGCCTGCCTGGTCCCTGCCCTTCGGCCCCTCCCCAGCCCTCGCGCTCCCCTGGTGGTTCTCTCTCCCTGCGGCTCTCTCCCCAGGGCAGGGGGAGCCAGCCTGACTGCCGGCCCCATTGGGCTCCAAGCCTTCACCCCAGCCTGACTGTCTGCCGGTGGGTGCCCTGGTTTCCACGGCCCAGATTCCTGGGGGCATCCCAGCCCCCACACTCACCGATCCAGAAGTTCCTGGTCTCGAAGTCGCTGTCAGTCACCTCGTTGGTGGTCTCCAGGCGGCCCAGGTAGAAGGCGAGGATGTCCTGCACTTTCTGGCTCTCGATCTGGGCGAGGACCCCGCCCTTTCCCTGTAACCCCCACTCTGGGTCACGCCGGCAGGGACCCAGAGCTCAGGCAGCCCTTGCTGCCACCCCACCGCGGCCATGAATGACAAATACGTGTGCTGGCTGTGCTGTCCTCGTCCCCCACCCCACAGCCTCCTGCCTCTTAGACGAGGGGTTCCCCTCCCTCTCCCTGCCTGCGCCGGGCCTGGCCTGGCAGGGTCCTGCCACTGGAAGGCTTTTGGTTTATTTGCTCAGTGCCTTACACACATTTGAGTTGGCTGCCAACATTAATAAGTCTAGAGATGCCAATGAAAATCTGGATTTCTGGTTCTGAAAAATCCCGAGTTCTGGCCGCCCCGACTCGTATCCCTGTGGGCAGCCAGCAGCTGGAGCTGAGTCAGGACAGCTCCTTAGGTGGGGGTTGGGTGGGGGCCTCGCTCCTGGTCCCTCAGCTCAGTACGTGACCTCTTGGTTTCCGTGGGCCTCTGAGTGGACCCCTGCTTTATGCTAATGATGAAGTGTTGAAGAAGGAACCATCTCTTAGTCCAGGATCCTCCTTAGTCCTTGCGACCCTAGAGGGGAGGGGCTTCCCGGGAAGGCAGGGGCCAGCCGTCACCTGGCATTTCATCTTGGCTCCGTAATAGGTGTCTGCCTCCGGAGACACCATGAAGCAGTCGCCATCGATCCTCAGGTCACAGGCGTGGAAGGGAAAGTGCACCTTGGCTGGGGAGAGGGAGCGTGAGCTTGTGTGTAAGCATCTCTCGTCAAAATCGTCACCCCTCCCACCCTGCCAGGGAGCTGAGCTCAAGGTACCACCCTCCGGAGAGTGGGTGGGGTCAGTGGTGTGCTGGTAAATGTGTAACAGCCAGCTCTCCGCCTCAAAAAATAAATCAATCAATCTATGATTTGTAGCATTTGCCAATTCCCATGGTGTAAATGCCCATACCACGGCCCATTTCAGGCTACCAGTATCACTGAACATGGAACTGGGAAGATATGTGTGCAACAGGCAATTGTGAAGTGGCCCAGATCCAGCACCCTATCGAGGGGATCCTGGGAGGGCCCGGCTTGTTGGGGGCCTTGGGTCAGGACTCACTGGCACACTGGGCTCCCCCGTAGCCGACGTCACAGACGCAGGAGCACTCCTCTTCCCGGAACCGGCCATGCACGCACTGCATGCTGCACCGCACTGCAGGACGGGGCGGGAGGGGCCTGAGCTCAGCCACAAGCCTGGACCTCGTGCTGCCCCTCACAGGCCAGGCTGCGGACATGCAGGGACTGGCCAGCCACAGAGAGATCCCCTCTCTCGGGCTCCCAACTGCTGCCCCTCTTGGCATCTTTGGCATCTCTCGTGTAGAGAGAAGCAAATTGGGGTTGGGGAAGTGACCTGCCCGTGGTCACAGAGCTGGGGCGGGAGACAATGGGAGAGGAATCCACCTCTGAATCCTAATTCTGCCTCCCCCCACCTCAGGATGTATGGGGCCACTCCCGATTCTGATTTGAACCCCCTGCACAGCTCAGGGTCTTGCAGACAGTCGGTGCTCAATGGATGCTTGTTGAATGACAATATGCAGTGCTCAGATGAGCAAGCACCCCCCTAGCACACTTGATGCTCCCTCAAAACTCATTCATTGAGAGCAACACAGCCCCTGGACGCACCACACAGCGTCTGTGTGCACGCATGCGCCCACATGCATTGGGCTCAGCCCCTCCTCACCCCCAGGGGCTGCCTGCGGGTGTGCCGGGCCTGGACTCCCCCGCTGGGTCCCTCAGGCCGCTGTGGTCTGCAACTCCAGGGCTCCTCACCTTGGCAGAACCTGCCCGTGTAGCCGGGGGGACAGTGGCAGTGGCAGGTGCTGACGTTGAGATGTCCGCCGTTCCGGCAGCTCATGCGACATGGGTTCCTGGGGACCTCTGGTCAGATAAGCAGGGACCTCTGAAAGGGGCTTCCTCCAGGCAGGGGCCTCCTGGGTGCTGGGCCCAGGCTTCTGGGAGAGCCCCTCAGGACGCTGCCACTTCCTCTAATCACCCATCAAGCTCTCCGATACCCGCCCCCACAGGAGGAAGCAGGTACGGGGGCACTTACCACAGAGCCCCCCTGCATGGTCCCAGGCTTTGAAGCAGCCCGAGACGCTGGCCGTGCAGAGCGAGCACCAGGCGCCCTTCTTGTAGGGGACGATTGTCTGCCCGTTGACCTCCCAATTGCCTCTGTGGGAGCAAGCACCAGAGGGGGCTGGAAGGACCTGGCTGTCTGCCTGCCCCATCCACCCCTCAGCTCAGCCAGGGGGTCGGGGAGCTGGGTGAGATGGGGAGAATTCCTAGAAGAGAAGAGAGGGCCTCCCAAGGAATCCTGGGGAATCTCCTGCAAGCAGGGAGTGCTTCCAGGAGGAGGCATTCGAGGGGACTGCACATCCTGCACGGCTAGGACCATGGGTGCTGCCACCTCTGCACCCAATCCCTTACCCCTTCTTCCCTCTCCCTCAGGGTGGAGATCTAGAGGTAAAGGCCTTTTGGGTGAGTGGGTAGACGCCTCTCCCAGGGGGAAAGTATCCTCACCCCAGCTGACAGCCCAGGAGTGGCGGAGGCTTACCCAGGAGAGTAGGCACAGACAAAGGCTTCCATCTCGGCCTGCTCCCCAGAGCAGGGATGTTGCCCACAGCCCAGCTGGCTCGAGGTGGCCCACACGAGCTGTGGGAGACACAGTGGCTCAGAAGTCCGATTGGGCCACCCCCAGACTGGGGCCAGCAGCACAGGTGAAGCTCACTGGGAGGGAGAACATAGCTCTGGCCCCAAATGAGGCAGGCAGGCAGCTCCCTCACCTCCCCGGGGGCCTCCAGAGTAGCAGGTGGGATGCCCAGGGCTGTACGGATGGGAGGGAATAGTCTAGGAAGGATGTCTGGGTGTTCGGGGGGGTGGAGGGTGAGGGCAGGCAGACACCTGAAAGGAGGGGAGATTGTGGATGGGGCAGGAGAGATGCTACAGACAGACTTGGACATGAAAACCTCGTGACAGATTGCAAAAACGGCCACACTTCTCGCTCCAGCTCCCTTTTAAATGTGGCTTTGCAGTTCTTGGTATCGAGAGAAGGACTCTGTTTCCCACACCCTGTGGCTTGCAGCAGAGGTGATACTGAGCCAGTTTTGAACCTAGGCCTCAGGAGACCCTGCAATTTCTACTCACTCTCATAACATTGTGCTTAAGCCACCACATGAGCAAGCCTCCTGGAGGCTGAAAGACCTCTGAGGGCGGAGAGGAGCCAGTTAGAGCCACTCTAGACAGCCAGCTTCTGCCAACCCCGCAGCTGATTGAGTTGCACGAGTGGGTCCAGCCAAGACAGAAGAACCCCCCAGCTGATCCCCAACCAAATTGTCCACCTACAGAATGTAAGATGCTACATTGGGAGTGTGTGTGCATCAAAAGCTAATGGATACAGGTTGTTAACAGTATTCAAAACTTAGATTTAAAGTTTTAGAATCAGTGACAATGTGGAAATAGAACAAATGGTCAAAACACAGGAAGAGCTAAGCAAATTGGTAGCCATTAAAAATGACAGGTATGGCCCTATCTGGTTTGGCTCAGTAGATAGAGCATTGGCCTGCAGACTAAAGGGTCCCAGGTTTGATTCCGGTCAAGGGCACATGCCTTGGTTGCAGGCTCCTCCCCGGCCTGGGCCCTGGTCAGGGCTCATGCAGGAGGCAATCAATCAATGTGTTTCTCTCACATGGGTGTTTCTCTCTGTCTTTCCCTCTCTCCTCCACTCTCCCTGAGAATCAATGAAAGAATATTCTTGAGTGAGGATTAACAAACAAACGAACAAACAAACAAAAGACAGGTATGAGGCAGGGAGAGATGAACATGTGGCCATACATATGTGTCCAACAATTAAAGAATTTGCATTTTTAAAAATATATATATTTAAAGAGGAAGGGAGAAGGAGAGAGAGAAACATCAACGATTAGAGAGATAGAAACATCTATGAGAGTCATTGATCGGCTGCCTCCTGCATGCCCGCTACTGGGGATCCAGCCCACAACCTAGGCATGTGCCCTGACTGGGAATCCAATTATGACCTCCTGGTTCATAAATCGACGTTCAACTACTGAGCCACACCGGCTGGGTAGAATATGCATTCTTTTTAGGAATTCATGGAATTTTTCCAAACGTTGACCCCTCAGTAAACCACAAAGCAAGATTCATCTATTACCAAAGAATCAATATCCTATAGGCCATGTTCTATGACTTCTATGCAATAAAATCAGAGTAAGTAATTAAGAAGTAAGTAAAGAAGAAAGCATAGTTTGGAAATTTAAATATACATTTTAAAATCAAAGGCAACATCATGATGGAAAATAGGAAACATTTAGAACTTAAATGACAATGAAAACACCATCAAACTTATAGGATGTGGCTAGCAAAGTTTAGGGGGAAATCTATAGCTTTACATGCATAAAGCAGTAATGAAGAATACTTAAAATTAATGAGCTAAGAACCCATATCACGAATATAAAAAGAGATAATAGAGTAAGTCAAATAAAATAGAAGAAAGAAAATAAAAATAAGAACAGAAATGAATGAACATTTTAAAATGAAGAGAAAGAAAAAGCTGATTTGTTCAAATAGAGAAACCTCTGGGGAAATTGGTCAAGGCTAAAAGAGAGGAGGCACAGGTAAATGTGGGACCTTTAAGAGGACATTAGTTACACAGTAAATACTTTAAAATCTCTGTTTAATTCTAGTTTTAAAAATCTCTGTTAAATAATGAACAACTATGAAATATTTGTTTTCTCACTGTCACCATCTAACTCAGTGGTCCTCAACCTTCCTAATGCCGCGACCCTTTAATACAGTTCCTCATGTGGTGGTGACCCCCAATCATAAAATTATTTTTGTTGCTACTTCATCACTGTAATTTTGCTACTGTTATGAATCATAATGTAAATATCTGATATGCAGGATGTCTTTTCATTGTTACAAATTGAACATAATTAAAGCATAGTGATTAATCACAAAAACAATATGTAATGATATATGTGTTTTCCGATGGTCTTAGGCGACCCCTGTGAAAGGGTCGTTTGACCTCCCAAAGGGGTCGCGACCCACAGGTTGAGAACCGCTGATATAGATGAAAGAAGATGAGCCATGAAACCACGAGCTGATAATTGTTGAAGTGGGTGACGGGTACATGGGGGTTCATTAATCATTCTGACCATTTTGTAAATGTTTAACATTTTCTGTAATGAAACTTTTAACCCTCACCCAAGGATATCTTTTTATTGATTTTGAGAGAGACAGGAAGGGAGAGAGAGAGAGAGAGAATCATCAATCAGTGGCCTCCTGTTCACACCCCAACCAGGGATCAAACCCACAACCTACGTATGTGCCCTGAAAAAAGTAAAACCGCCTGGCCGGCGTGGCTCAGTGGTTGAGGGTCAACTATGAACTAGGAGGTCACAGTTCGATTCCCGGTAAGGGCACATGCCTGGGTTGCAGGCTTGATCCCCAGTGTGGGGCGTGCAGGAGGCAGCTGATCAATGATTCTCTCTCATCATTGATTTTTCTATTTTTCTCTCCCTTTCCCTTTCTCTCTGAAATCAATAAAAAAAATATTTTTTAAAAAAGTAAAATCACACAAATTGGAGGAAAAGCAACCACTAATTTTAGGACAAACTCTAGCCCTTCTGAGCCCGTACCCTGGCCTCACCTGAGTGTAGTGGGTGCAGGTGGCATTGAGGGCACACGCCGCCGCCTCATGGCTGTACCGCTGGCCTTCTGCAAACCACAGGCCCACCACGTGGACGAAGGATGCCGCGCCCACTGGCAGCAGCTGCACATTCCAGCCCACCTGGGAAGTGGCCCCCGGAGTGGGCACCAGGCTTGGGGCCAGGGCGCCACAGCGGGCTGCCCTGGCCTGAGCCAGTCGGGCTAGGCTCTCACTCCAGTCCTGGGGGCAGTACAAACAGAAACATCAGCAGGGCCCTCCCTTGCCATCTCCCACACATTCCCGGGTTGCTAGTTGCAGAGAGCACTGGGCCGGGTGTCCTGCTTGGCTGCCTGACCACTCTGAGCGGGTTTTACCCAGTTCACCGGGCCGGGAAGGTCAGATAGGACCGGCACAGAGCGCTCCAAGGTGTGTTGGGAAAGGCCCTGGTGCTGTCTGGACCCCCAGCCCAGAGCCTGCTCCACCCAGGACTGGGAGCCTCCCTCCTCCTGACTCCTGTGGGCACCCTTAGCCCTGATCATGGCACCACCGTCTGGGGGGACAGGTGCCCGGAGGGAGGAATGTCGCCCCCAGCGATGGGATGGGTTTCTGCAGTAACCTTTTCCACCCGGGGAGGTGAGCCCTGGCAGGGCCCACGCCTTTCACCCTGGTTCTGTGTTTGCCATGAGGTACCCCTGGCCCTGGCCATGCTCAGCTGCTCCCACTCGGCTTCCCTTCTGTGATGCCAAAAGCTGCAGCCGCCGGGCCTCTGTACCCTATTCCCCACCCCGGCCTTGGCGTGTGTAGGGCACCCACAGGGAAGGGGGCAGCGAGGGTGTTGGAGGTCTCCTGGTCCCAGGGCTTTGGTCCCAGAGAGCAGAGTTTTCTGGAGCAGGTGTAATCTGCTCTCCCTACCCAGGCACCAGCTGACCTCCCTGCACCCCGGCCCTGCAGCACCCCCTCCTCTGAAACAAGGCCCTCTGCAGGCGGGATAAGGTATATGATCCCATCACCATGCCCTGGTCCACCTAGACACCTCATCACAGCTATGTGACCTCCGGCAGTCCCCTAATCTGCCTAAGACTCAACATCCTCATCTGTAAAATGGGAACACTGAGGGACCTATAGGCTGAGATTGTCGTGAGGAATAAATGGATGCAGGGCCCAGCAGGGCGTGGCTCAGTGGTTGAGCGTTGACCTAGGAACCAGGAAGTCAGGGTTCGATTCCCAATCAGGGCACATGCCCAGGTTGTGGGCTTGATCCCCAATAGGGGGCGTGCAGGAGGCAGCTGATCCATGATTCTCTCTCATCCTGGATGTTTCTATCTCCCTCTCCCTTCCTCTTTGAAATCAATAAAAACATGTTTTAAAAAATAAATGGATGCAGGGAAGAGAGTGCATTGCTGAGGGCCTGACTCACAGCAGGCCCTGGGCAGGGGGCCATAGTGACTTGACTGCTGATGGGGGCTAGAGCTGGGAGCAACAGGGCCCACTGGGGGCCCTCAGCAGCCCTGAGCCACCCCCAGGGCCTCAACCCCACGGGAAAAAGCTGTAGAAGCCCACAGGGGTGCCCAGGACCAAGCCATAGGTATGAGGGAGGCTGACTGGGGTCTTCTTGTTGCACCTTTTATGAAGTGCTGTTTTCTAAGAGTTTGGCAAAGAGGGCATGAAAAGTGTAGAAACAGCTGATGGGGGGGGGTGCCCTCCCACCAGAGTGTGGGGAGGGGGAGCCAGGACCTGGGCCTGCAGGAGGGGCAGAGCCGTTGCAGCGAGGAAAGGGGGAGAAGTGACCCCTCCCATCTGCCTGTCCCACCCCCACCTCCTGGAACTGACCCAGGAGCTCTCAAGGTCACCGGTGCTCAGCCAGCGGAGGAGGCGTTTGTGGGAGGCAGTCATGGGGAACCCTGCCCGCTCCCACCCTGCTCTCTCCCTCGCTCCCAGGCCTGTCAGCAGGGGCTGGGGTAGCAGAGGTCCCACACCACGGGGGCCGAGTTTCTGGGCCTCAGGATGACACCTCCAACCCCAGAGCCCCCGTCAGGGTGGATGGGAAGCCCTGCACCGCCTTCCGCAGTCCCCGTGAATGAGCAGGGCACTTGGAGGGGCCCCTTCACCCAGACCAGCCCCTGAGGAAGCGAGCACTGGGACCCGGCCCCACACAAGCCCCTCCCTGAGCGGGATGCTTCTCCCTCCATCCTGCTGGGACTCCTTTGTGAGCTCCTTCCATGCCTCCTGGTCTCCAGGACAACGGGATGGGATGTGAGGAAAGGCCACAGGACTGCCCTTCTGGGAAGCAGGAAGCTGTGGAGGACCCAGCAACCAGGCCCGGCCCCGCTATGGGCAAGGTGACTGGCTGCCCCTTCTGCCCTGCTCAGTGGAAGGGCGCCTGGTGCCAGCATGGCCTCCTGAGCCCTCTCGGGGACTGCCCCTCCAGCCGCCCCCTCTGTGCGCTGGGCCCTGGGCCGGGCACTCACCAGTCTCTGCATGTTGGCCGCAGGGGGGTGCACCCGGCTGCGCAGGCGGTTGTGCAGGGAGAGGAGCAGGAAACCCTCCTTCCTGCTCAGGGCTGGGAGGGGAGACAAGGTCAGGCCACCTGAGTGGTGGGGCCGTGTCCTGGCTGATAGGGTGGGGTCACCGGCAAGGTGAGAATGCAATCCTGCCCTTAGGAAACAAGACCTAAGGCTGGACAGGAGCATGTGTGGGAGGACCCGGAGCAGAGCGATGGGGGACTAAGAGGTGGAGAAGAGTCGGGTGAGAGGACAGGTGTAAAGGAGTTTGGGCTGAGAGCTGGGCGTGGCGAGATAGAGGACAATGGGCTGGGGGTTGGGTGTGGGGAGGGCGCCAGCCCTGGGTTCCCAGCAGCCCCCTGGCTCTGACTCCTCTTGGCCACTGTGGTTCTCCTAGGGCGCCAACTGCAAACTCTAGGCTGTGTTCCTCCTTGACCTCCAAGCCTGGGCCCACTCCCCTTCATTCTTCCTCCTCCCCGGCCCAGCCTCCCCCATTCGTCTCGGCCCCTGGACTGGCCGAGGGTTGCTCTTTAGACCACATCAGCCTGCCCAGGGCTCAGGCCTCGAACTAGCTTCTAGAAGCCCCCTAGCACCCCTGTGCCACATCATAGCTCCTCCACCTTGCCTCACCCAGGGCCCCTTACCTCCGGGCATTGGAGCCTGCTCCCCCCGCAGCTGGAGCGGCCGCACCTCTGCCCAGGCCACGCAGAGGAGAGCCAGGAGCACGGGCAGGAGGCCAGGCCCGCGGCCCCCCAGCCCAGAGGAGGGCTCCAGCCGGAGCATGGGTCCGTAGGGCGACCCGGGAGCAGCCTGGCTCCGCCGTCCACGTCCAGCTCGCTTCACAGGCTGGACAGAGCTATTCACAATCTCGAGGAGTCAGGCTGGGCTGGCAGACAAAAGGAGGAGGCTGGTGAGTAATCATTGTGTCCAAACAAGCCTCCCATCCAGGCTGGCATGAAAAAGGAGAGACAGCTGCAATCCCGGCCGCCCCTCCGACAGCCGACCTACCAGCCAAGCGGTGCGCACTGACCCCGTGGCCCCTGCTAATCATTGCAGGGTTCTTAGAGCCCTCGGGAAGCCCTCGCAGACCTTGCTGATTGGCCCACAGACATTCCAGGGCTGCGGATTAACAAGTGATGGCGGTGTCCTGGCCGGGACAGTGTCCTCCATCAGCGGCTTCCACTCCCAGCCCCCAGCCCAGGCAGGAGGCTGGGGCCTCAGCCATGTGCCCTGCGTGCGGGCAGGAACTGGGCAAGACCCCAGGGGAGTTCTTTCCTTTCTTGGGAAGCTAGTCCCAACCCCCAGCCATGAATTAAACATGGGCAGGTGGTAACTGTACACCAGACAGGTGCCATCGGTGGGTGGGCACGGGGGCCATAGGCTCGAGGGAAGTGGGCTGGGAGGAAAGGGTGCTGTAGGAGAGTCTGTCTGGGCAGTGTGGGGGCTGGGCCCTCCCCGACACCCCCTCCCTCCCCCCCGGTCTCCCATGTGACTACTGGCCAGGAGAAGGCAAGGCAAGAGGCAGGAGAGCATGTGACACCCTTGGCTGACTTGAGTCCTGCAGGGAACAGGTTGGCCCCTAGACCAGCAGGCGGTGTGGTTAGGGGGCAGCACATGGCCATGATGCTCGGGGTCTGGCCACGGCTACACAATCCGACAAGAGTATATTGAAGCAGATCTGCACCACGGCTCACATTTCTTAGAAAATAAAAGGCTGTCTTGCAGGCCACAGGCAAATGTCCACGTTCCCCACGGCGCGGATCAAAGGTTATTCAGCCATGCCAAGGGACAGCCTTGCCAGCCAACTACCTCTTCCTTCCGGAGTTTGTGCGGCCCCTGACCCCTGGCCTGGCACTCTCTAAGAGCCAGGTGTCAACTCCTGGGAGCTTTGCTGAGATGCAAGTGGGCTTGGCTTCCCGGGGAAGCTGATGGAACATGGATGTCATTGTGGGTACTGGGGAGTGGGGCCAGGCCGGCACAAGGACCCCGAAGCCAGCCGGGGCTTGCAAGTCCCCCCGAAACCCAGGACCTCAGGAGCTTCTACTCCCGCAAAGCACGACCAGACGACCTCAAACGTATCCCGTCCAGATCCCAGCAGCGCTGAATAACAGTGACCTTTCCTGTAGAGCTGACAATGCATGTTCACATATGTGAGTTCATGGAATTGTCGCAACAACCCTGTGAGACGCGGTGCCCACGTTGCAGATGAGGAAGCTAGGCTCAGCGTGTCTAAGGGACGTGTCCGAGGGCGCCCGGCAAGCGCGTGGTGTGTGCCAGCTAACCGGCGTCTTTGTCTTCACATTCCCAGACGCTGGTGAAGATCTGATTTAATCCACCTCTTGGCCCCGTGAGTTCAGTTTCCGCAGCCCTGCTCTACGGTAACAAAGGATGCAATTCCCGCCCCAGGGCTTCGATGACCAATGTGGCTAGCTCTCTGGTCGTAGCACAATGCAGGCACTTGGGACAGGTGGTAGGAAAGTATATTTTGGGGCCTGGGGTGGAGCGACTTTCGAGGGGCCCTGGCTCACTGCGAGAGGAGGTCAGGGTGGATAAAACAGCAGACCAGACATCTGAGGGCCTGGGTTCTAACCCAGACTCTGCGTGACACTGGGGTTGTCACTTCCAACCCTGGGCCTCATGGCGCAGTGGCGTGAAGCAGGGATGACACCCTCTGCAGGACTCCCTCACCAGGGTGTTGCACTTCAGTTTACATGAGAGTTCCTCATGGATCCAGACTTCTTACAGGACCCTGCTGTGTGGTTGGGATGGGTTTTGAGAATGGGTATCCCCCGCCCTGCTTTTAAAAAATATATTGTATAGTATTTTTATTTATTTATTTTATTATTTTTAGCGTTCAGTGCATTAACTTATTTTTTACTTTTAAAATAATTCTTTATTGTTGAAAGTATTACCTATGTCCCCCATTTCCCCCCATTGACCCCCTCCAGCCCCAGGCCTTCAGCATCCTATTGTCTGTTTCTATGGGTCATGCATACAAGGTCTTTGGTTGATTACCTCCTACCCAACCACCCTCCCCCGCCTTCCCTCTGAGATTCTGCGCTCTGTTTCATGCTTCTATCTCTCTGGATCCACTCTGTTCATCAGTTTATTTTGTTACTTAGATTCCACATATGAGTGAGATCATGTGATACTTGTCTTTCTCTGACTGGCTTATTTCACTTAGCATGATACTCTCCAGGTCCCTCCATGCTGTCTCAAAGGGTAAGAAATCCTTCTTTTTTACTGCTGCATAGTATTCCATGGAATAATGGTACCATGGCTTTTTGATCCCCTCACCTACTGATGGGCACTTGGATATCCCCTTTCTTGTAAGGCAAATTTCCCCAATAAGCAATCTCTATTTTTTTTGTCAGAATGTCCTTCCTTTTTTAAAAAAGCTTAAATCCTTACATATTTATTGTATTATTTTAAAGTTTATTTTAGAGAGAGAGAGACAGAAACAGACATCGATTTGTTATTCCATTCATTTATGCATTCATTGATTGATTAATTCTTGTATGTGCCCTTGTGCCCCAACTGGAGATCAAACCTGAATCCTTGGCATATCTGGACGATGCTCTAACCAACTGAGCTACCTGGCCAGGGCAGCAACCTCGTTCTGGTCTCTGTCAGCATAGATTTGCTTTATTTGTTCTGAATTTCATATACACAGACTCATAGAATATGCATACCTTTAGGCCCGGATTCCTTTACTTCACATCATGTCAGTGAGATTCTTGCATGTTGTTGCCTGTATCAGTAGGTTGTTTTTGTTGTTCTTATTTGTTTCTCATTGCTGGTAGTATTTCATATTTCCATTCTCCTAGTAATGGACATTTGAACTGCTTTAAGCTTTTGTTATCAATAAAGTTGCTGTGAGTGTACAATATAAAATTTTCTTTTTAAAAAGTATTTTTATTGATTTTTAGGGAGAGGGAGAGAGAGTAACTTCTATGTGAAAGTGATAAATCCATCAGCTGACTCTTGCATACTCCCTATGGGGGATCGAGCCCGCAGCCCGGGCATGTGCACTGACTGGGAATGGAACCAGCGACCTCTCAGTGCAACCAACTTAGCCACACTAGCCGGGCTTCTTTTCTTTTAATAAACACCTAGAAAAGGAAGAAAAGACAAAATTACCCAAATCGGGAAGAAAAGAGGGGACATCATCACAATTGATACTCCAGAAAACAAAAAGTTGTAAGAAAATGTCGACAAAATGAACAACATAAGCACAATGGCCAAATTCCTAAAAAGGTAAATTACCAAAATTGACTCAAGAAGAAATGGAAAATCTGAATAGACATATCATGATAAAAGAAATTGAATGATTGATTAAAAGTCTTTCCACAAAGAAAAGCTTAGGTGTAAATCGCTTCTCTGATGAATTCTATCAAATACTTAAGGAAGAAATAATGCCAATCATACGTAGACAACAGGTGAATTTCATGGCATGTAAACTATATACCAGTGAAGCTGTTTAAAAAACAAACATAGGAAACACTGACCAACTCATTCTATGAGTCCAGCAGTACACTGATACCAAAAGCAAAAATATTCTAAGAAAAGAATTTAGGGTGAAGTATACTGATGTCTACAATGTACTTTGCAATGAACCAAAACCAAGATAGATTCATGAATGAATATAGGAATTAATAGATGAATCAATTTGTGATCAAGGATGTTTAGTAAAATGATAAAATCCAGCATTAGGTGTTTGGGTGTTCGCTGTAAAATTCTTACAACTCAGCAGTATATTTGAAATCTTTAAAAATAAAATGGAGAAATGTAATTATAGGGCATGACATGGTTCAGTTGAGAATAGCTTTTATGAAGTCAGACAATGTAAATAATAATGATTTAATCCAAAAAGGAAAATAAAAACAAAGTTAAAAAAAATAGGTGGCAAGTGGGGAGAAAGAGGGTGTGTGGTATGAGAGCCAATCATTTTCCAGGTCAGTAGAGAATATCTGAATACTGAATACTTGAATGCTGGCATTCAGATCCAGGCCAGGTCAGCTCCGAAGTCATTCTCTTGACCAACCTCAACCAACCCTTCCAGCTTGGACTCCGGGGGCCTTGAGTCCAAGGATGCCCCAGATCCAAGTGTCTGAGGGTCCCTAACTCCACGGAGCCTCGCTTGGGAAGGACAGTGGGAGGGGACTGGCCCATCCCTCCTTCAAGGCTTCACCAAAGGAGCGTCTTCTCAGCCCTTGCCGCGCACAGGAACCACGCTGGGTTATCTCCTCTGGGGGAGATTTGATTAGTCTGACATAGGTTTGTAATGAACCCTGACATCCTGAGTGCCTTAGGAGGGGCCTGTGAACCCAGGAAACCTTAATTCATATGCCACAGCGCCACCTACTGGTGAGTTAATATGGCCAAAGGCGGTAAACTCATCCCATCACTACAGGATTAGCCCCATTTCACAGATGGGCAACCAGAGCTTTTGCTCTTCTCTTTTCCCAATTCATTTAATCATAGATTAAATGCCAGGCACAATGCTAGGTGTTGGGGCTTTAAAGATGCCAAGTCCTCACTAGAGGGATTGACGGAACCAGTAGGGGAGAAAAACGACATATGTGACCGAAAAGGGTACAGTGGGGACACCAAAGGGAGGCAAACCATCTTGGGGGAGAAAAAGCTTCCCCGAGGAGGTGGTGGTGATACCGGGCTGAGTGTTTGAAATCCAGGAGGGGTCTGCCAGGCTGACGGGGGAGGGGGGTTGTGGGGGGTCATTTGATTCTAAATTCAGAACGATCCCACAAGCATAGCATAGTGGG